ATGTTTGAATGGCGAACACGTCAATACATCGCCATTGACCATCTTGCGCAAACAAGTCAGCGAACTACGCAGACACTCTTCAAGACAGCTGCGCGCATGATGATAAAGAAAGGACTGTGAATCTCAGCGAGAGCTTGTGATGTAACCTGGAGTTCGCAGTGGACGCCGATGGAGAAGCAACATGGAAGGAATAAACAAAAGAAATGGAGAATCGTGATAAGTTCATCTCGCCCTGAAGCAAGCCGACGCTTGTTTATTTACATGGCAGCGAGGGAGTGATAGCGCTGAGGTTGGAGCTACGACACAATCTCAAGGTCGCGAGCGGCATCATGGCGGCCAAAGAACGCTAGCGTCGGACATCAGCGTCCACGGGCACCGAGCGGCCGTTGGCACGTGACCTTCGGCTCCAAGTGCGCTCCCCCATGGCAGCCCAGCGCCAGCTTCCCAGCGTCAGCAATGCCTCCCACTTTTGCGCTCAACTATGCTACGCGTTCTAGCTATGTCCATCACCTGCGTCCTATAATCAGACATGCGACATACCCATCAGCCCTAGATCGATTAGCTCGCGATCTCCTCGCGAAATGACACCGTCCGCGAACCTGCCTAGGTACCGATACCACCGAGCTGTGCCGGCCGACATCGAACACGGCGCGAGCTCGTATGGCGAAACTTTCAACAAACATGATCAATCTATTATACGAATTGATGAAATGCTGGTACCTAAGTAAACGAGAGTTATGGGAGACATTTGCTGCCGCATGTCGGATTAGCTGAATCAGTACCACGTCTTCGGGCAGGAGGTCACCGGCATTCAATGTGGACCGCCGGCGTCTTACCAGCCACGTTAATGTCAGGCCCACTACACGAGCCATTAGGCGATAACAAGAGGCCGGCTCAGATAATCTGATCATTTCTAGAGATAGAGTAGTGCTTCAAAATGTTACTGGTCGACTTTATCAGCATCGGCATTCATCCAGACTAACCCTCACGATACCGGGATCTCGGCTTCTCTATCGGCCTACTACCATATCCCAGGAACAAACTGCGGAGTGCGGAGTAATCATACCAATATCTCCGCAACATCCACTAATACCCTGGGCACACGTAGGTACCTTGTCTACTTAATCATTAACTCTGGCTATCTTCAAGTCTGCCACATTTGATCCAAGGACGATTATTTCACCGCGAGATGTATGTCTCCATCACGGTCTGGACAGGCTTGCTATACACCTTGACGCAGGTACATGCATCATCACAGACCCTGGCGAATCGGCCATGGCTAGATCCAACACTGCCAAACGAACAGCGATTGCAACTTTTCCTCGACCAGTTGAACAACACCCAGAAATATGCTATGGTACAAGGCGATACCGAGCTCGATGATAACGGAACTGGAGTCAACCCTTGTATAGGACACATTTCTGGCAATGAGACTCTCGGGGTACCCTCAATTTGCATGGGAGATGGCCCAGCTGGGGTTGGAAACAACTTGAACAACGTCACCGCCTTCCCGGCCCCAATCGCCGCCGCGGCTTCGTGGAACACTACCCTCGAGTACGCTTATGGCCAAGCATTAGCCCAGGAACATATGGCAAAGGGCCGCAATGTCGTTCTCTCACCGACTATCAACATCCTCCGGTCGCCACTATGGGCCCGCGCAGCCGAGACCTTCTCAGAAGATCCATGGTTGACCTCTCGAATGGCTGTGGCGGGTGTCCTCGGCGTCCAGAGTCAAGGAGCTTTAGCTTGTCCCAAGCATCTTGCTGGGTACAATCAAGACACTAATAGATTCGGGGTGGGTCCTGATTGGGATACTGTTGACGTTCACATCGATGAGCGGGTGCTGCATGAGCTTTACCTGCCTGCTTTCAAGGCGTCTGTTCAAGAGGCAGATGCGGCTTCTGTCATGTGTTCCTACAATAAGCTGAACGGGTTCTTCGCGTGCGGAAACGACTGGCTTCTGAACACTACATTGAGACAAGAGTGGGGGTTTCAAGGCTTCGTTGTCGCTGATTGGTACTTCTCCACAAGAAGTACTGTCAGTGCGGTTATGGCCGGTCTGGATATCAGCATGCCTGGAGGTTCTCTCGAGGATTCATATGGATTCCCAGCCTACTACGGAGACCTTTTGGTTGAGGCTGTCGAAAATGGGACCATACCAGCGTCGCGCATCGACGATATGGTTGCAAGAACGTGGCGGTATATGTTCAAGCTTGGAATGGTCGACAATCCAGTCACTGGAGATGCGGAGTCGGTGGCAAGAACACAATCCCACCTTGATCTGGCTCAGAAGATGGCCGAGGATGGCTCCGTCCTTCTCAAGAATGACAACTATACGCTACCTCTTTCACGACAGAAGTACAGGCATGTTGTCGTCTATGGTGTTGACGGGACCAACCAAAGCCAGGTCACGGAGAACCACGGAGGCTTCGTGATCGACACGACAATGGTAGTGCAGTCGCCTTTCGACGCATTGAAGCAGCGAGCTGGCAAAGAAGGCAACATGACAGTCACTTATGCCGAGGCCTATCCTGGCACCGGGCAATTCCCAACGGTGCCTTCTAGCATGTTCGTCGACGATGGTCTGAATGTCACATACTACACGACTACAGACTTCTCTGGACCTATTAACCAAACCGACTCTGTACCTAACATCACCTCAGGATCATTCCCCAAGGAGCTCTGGGTATCATGGCCCCAGGTGTTTTCCTGCGTCTACGAAGGCACTTTCAAAGCTAACACAAGCGGGATGTACCATTTCTCCCTAACCGGCCAAGGAGACGCCATACTTCACATCAACGGACAAGTCATCGCCAACATGTCGAAAGCGAACTTTGGAAACACCGTTCAAGGTATCGCGAACTTGACAGCCGGAGATGAGGTTTCCTTGGCCCTGAACTATTCCATGGGCTACTCGCTGTCTACTGGCGCATATGGCATCACACTGGGAGTCGATGTAGGCAACGAAGCAAGAGACGAAGAAGCAACTTCACTAGCAGAAATTGCTGATATCAGCATTATCTTCGCGTCCGATAGGCATTCCGAAGGTGTTGATAGCAACATTGGCCTTTCTCTCCCCGGCGACCAGGACGCAGTCATATCACGAATCGCCAAACGTTCGAAGAAGACAGTAGTTATCCTCAACACCAACTCGGCCATTCTCATGCCCTGGATCGATGAGGTAGATGCCGTGATGCAGTCATGGTATGGAGGCCAGCAGATTGGCCTGGCGCTCGAACGACTGCTGTTCGGTGATGTCAGTCCGAGCGGCAAATTGCCGGTGACATTCCCCAAGACACTGGATGACGCTATCAAGATTACGTCAGACCTGATCGTACCCTATGAAGAAGGGCTGAACGTTGGATACAGGTGGTACGACGAGCACAAAGTCGACCCGCTGTTTTCATTTGGCCATGGACTCACATACTCGACGTTTGAACTGGGCAATCTCGCGGTGCACCTCGCAAACTCTACTGCCACATCTGGCTCTGAGCGCGTAATTTGTACTGCGACTTTGACAAACACTGGAACAGTCTCTGCGTCGGAAGTGGTTCAGCTTTACGTGTCGTATCCAGAGGCAGCGCGTGAGCCTCCCAAGCTGCTCAAAGCATTCGCCAAAGTCTACCTCGACGCAGACCAGAGTACAGATGTTCTTCTGGAGGTGCTTATGGATGATTTGAGGATCTGGTCCGAGCAGAAGAAAGACTGGGATTTTGTACATGGCGAGTATAACTTCCTTGCCGGATTCTCGGCGAGCGATATTAAGGTAGAGGGAAAGATGGTTTTTTAAACGTGCTACAATAAACCGAGTTCGAATATACAGTAGTATCGCAGATTGCTGATTACGTGACGTTGTCAGCGGCATTCAGGATTGTGACAAGAATGCGCCCTGGCCAATATTAAACCCAGCGTTGGCGAACAAGAAGGCCCAGGCTTCGTCGTCTACAAAGTCAATGTTGAAGGTTGACGCATCTTCCGACGCAGAATTAAAGGTGGTCTGATCATTGTACGCTGGGGTGATAACAGGTCTTTGCGTAGTCTGCGCATGGGCGGACGCAGGTTGGTGGCTGGCCGGGTCCACGGCTGCGGCGGACGCGGCCGCTACGTGCGAAAGCGAAGATGTATGACGCGCCTGCAATGCTTCGTGCTGAGTGGAAACATTGCGCAAAAACGCTGCTTGTAATGCGCAGCTTGTGCTGGTTGGCGCTTGGAGTTTCTCGAATACTGTCGCAGCATTGCGAATGCTATCCAGCGCTGGCATTTCCATCTCGGACCGGATATATGATGGTGCTGAAAGTAAGAGCTATATCCGATGTAAGTAGTCGGCTTTCTAAAGGTGAGTTATTAAATACCTTGATGAGGAATACTGCGGCATAGGCGATCATGACATGCACACTGTCCTGAGCAAAGTACAATAGTTGAGATGCCGAGGTTTCAGAAACGAGTTCAAGCATGTCAAGCGCGCTTGAGTAGCTGTTCCAGATAGCTTCTGTATCGACAGAAGTCACAATATCCTTCAGTTTGATGGATGCGCGTAGTGAGGAAGTGTATAAGAGTAGCCGCGCGTAGCTGCCATAGAACGGGATCAGGAATGACTAAGAAATGGTGGGCGAAGTCAGTACAATTTTCGCATCAGTTCTTGCATAAATCTTACGCACATGACAGTCCTCGCCTCGCTCAGATACTTTCTCAGTCCACCTCTTTTGCCAATTCACAATTTCTGCATCAACCATACGTAGCGTGGATCGATAGCGCGACGCTTCGTGCCGTTGCTGTTGAGCATATTTTGTCGTCATCATCTCAAAGTGGGTGGAGGTGATAAGGCGGAGGGATACAAATGCGCAAAGTAGCCGGTCGTTGGCCATTTCAAGAGGATGCAAATACCAGTTGCTCACTGATTCCAAATAGTTGCTCCTTTCGATCATCCAAGGCTTGCCGGTCTGCAAACTGATGCTGTACGCATGTCAGTATCTTGTGATAAGGTCGATAACACCCTATCCCTACCTCCTGTCATAGACAAATAGCACTAGCCAGGTCCTTTCTATGTTTCTGAACTGCATCGCCTGGTAATCAGACAGGTTCTCTGAAGGTCTCATGCCATCGGTTCCGAGATGATGCCAACCAAGCTCAATGGCCATCCTGATGGCATAGCCTACATTTAACCATGCACGATTATCGCGGGGCTCTTTCCAATATGTCAGGATTAATATGGCTTGGACCGTCTCAACAGATTTTGCACCACGGCGAAAGCTCTCTAGAAAAAGCTCTTCGGCGTGAGAAAGCAAATCTTTACGCAGCGCAGGATGTAACAGCTTTGCCGCTGCCGCCAGAATGGCAGTGAATAGAAACGAGGACTTCTCCCGGACGTACTGAAAGGTATGCAGTGAAGGGTCCAGTTGACTGATGAAGGGGTTGAGGTGCTTCATGAATCCAGCGAATAGCTCCATAGCAAAATGAAGGTTGACTACTCCTTTGACAACCGGATCATTGTCTGAGGTGTCCTCTGTGCATTCTTCGGACGCATGCCCGTGTTCAGTACTTAGTACATTCTGCAAAGAGAAATCTCCTCTTGTGATCTGTCGGTTGAGTATATCAGAAAGCCGAAAGCCTCTGCTCTCCGTCCAGAAATCTTGGCTTGAACGCTGGGCTGACTGGGGTTGAGAACGCAGTCTAGAAGCTGATCTTTGGGCGCAATGTGTACCTGCCAATGTATCCGCATCACCCGCTACAACACCGTCATGGTCAACATGTTGAGCTTCGCCGTTCCATGATGTCGTCGCAGCATTGTCTTGACCTGTTGAGCTTGGTTTCTGGATTCTACAAATCACATCAGCCATTTCCTGTTGTATGGAAAAAGTAGGATTGACAAACTTGAAGCCGTGCTTTCGACCGCGCCGGTGGCCAAGAAAGTCACACTGCAACGATTTGCGCGTACACCTCACGCACCGCGTATCTTGCGCCGTCTTGTGGCACTTCATCTTGACCTTGCGACATTGCAGGCAGGCATGTGGTCTTGGAAGAGATCAGTCGCGTAACTGCAGTCAACCCGGAGCGAACTCACGCGGCTTTCGAAGGCTCGCGACTTGGCGCTTCATCAGCCTCTGTCATCGTGAATGTGTGTATAAGACATCAAGGTCAGATCGGGCTCGAACGGACACACAGTGATAGGTAGCATCTGGATAGTGTGGTGTCAAAACGGGCAAGGTATCGAGGTGTCTTATCGCTATCTTCACACGCTAACCGCTTTAGGAGCTTCCCCGGGGTCCTTTCTGACATGACACCTGCTCCCATCATGTTCCTCCACGGCATTCAAGGGGAAAGCTCGACGCCCACTTACAAAGCTCTTGCAGCGATACGAGTATCTCGGAACCGCTGACCCCGCACGGCTCTCTCAAACCAGACTCAGCGCTATGCTGCGACCTCGGTCTACTTCTATCGTTCGTGCAGATCGCCGGTGTTCTAATGTAGATTGAGTCGCCGGCGATATGGTACGTGCTCTCATTAGCTTATGCATGCATGCACCGTACCATCGCATGGGTTCTTTTCTCGACATCTAGGTAGTCCAAGTCCGCATCAACTCAACGCACATCAAGATACTTCACAACTAGCAACATGACGCAAATACCACGGTCGAAGGCCAAGACGGCGCACGTAAACATGATGACCGATACCATCATAGCAAATCTACCGGCGGATGCACTTCGAAGCGTGATCAGAGTCATCTTGACAACGGAGCCATCAGTTACAAGCATTCTAGAAGAACAGACGCGGATCTATCTCAAGAAAACCGCCAATCAGCCGGTCGACCAGCTGTTCCAATCGACGACCGAGGGGGTTGCCTCAACCTCGAACTTCACATGGGCCCAGCAGCGCCTACGTTGCGCCATAGGATGCGGATTGGTTCTCGACAGCTTCCCAATACTCAATAAGATTGTAGACGAATCCGTCAGCCTTGCCGATGAACACACCGTGCCTCGGTCGACAGAACTCAACCACAGTTTAGCCTCTGTCGACGGTGATATCGTGCAGGCGTTGACTGCGATTCAAAAGCGCTTGTTGTCCAATAGTGGCAGCAGAGACCTCAACGAAGAGGAGAGACCGGTGATGGACTCGCTCTTCACTTCATTGCTACGATGTCACCAAAGATGGCTTGCATCTGCGCAAGACTTTCCTTTCGAACGAAGCACTGCAGTTCTTGCGACTATGCTTGGCCGCGAAAGCGGTATACCGACACTGGTTCATCAGAATAGCTCTTGCGAAAGTCAAATTACCGGACGGAAGACATCGACCTCTATCGAGACTTTCAAAGTCAAGGGTATCGAGCTGCCGAAGCTGTTCGCGGGCCTGTGGCAACTGTCTAGTCCATCATGGGGTACTGCGTCACAAACACAAATGTTCAAGCAATTTGCAGAGTACATTGCAGGTGGCTTCACTGCCTTCGACATGGCTGACCATTACGGCGATGCTGAGGTTATATTCGGACGCCTGAGAGCCTCGCTAGCTGAACCTGAGGCCGTTTTCGGTGCCACGAAGTACTGTGTATTCCACAAGATTACCGTAACCCCCGAAGTCATCGGCGCCAACGTCACAGAGCGGTGCCAGCGCATGAGCGCCAGCAAGGTCGATCTTCTGCAATTTCATTGGCAAGATTACAATGACCATCAGTATATCGAAGCGCTGCGACTGTTGCAGCAAGACGAACGAGTTCGACATCTGGGCCTTTGCAACTTCGACACAGCGCGTCTCCAAGAAGTTATTGAGAATAACGTCGATGTTGTCACCAACCAGGTCCAATTCTCCCTTATCGATGCTCGCCCACGATTTGGGATGGGCGAGGTTTGCTCACGACATAACGTCAAACTCCTCACATATGGCACTCTTTGTGGAGGCTTTCTTGCTGAGAAGTGGCTCGGCAAACCTGAGCCACAGCTGTTTGGCCCCGATACAACACCTTCTCAACGGAAATACTTTGAGATGATCCAGACTTGGGGCGACTGGGACCTGTTCCAGACGTTACTGCAGACTTTGAAGGCTATCGCGACCAAACACAATGTCTCCATCTCGAACGTCGCGACGAGATGGGTTCTCGACTTCCCATACGTCGGGGCAGTCATCATTGGCGCACGCATGGGTGTTAGTGAACATACAGAGGAGAACCTGAAGACGTATGGATGGAAGCTTGATGAAGAAGATCAGAGGAGCATCGAAGAAGTGCTTAAGAAGAGCAGGAGGGAGGAAGTGTTCAAGGTCATGGGCGATTGCGGAAGTGAATACAGGTAGAAAAGATGTCTTGGCTTATCCGCCTGGCTTGTGCATTAGATGGTATTCGAGTAGGCTCCAAAATAGCTGTAAACCTTCGTGAGCAATTTGGGTTGATTGTGAACACGGGCGCGTCGCGTCATTCCAGCCCGCCCGTGCGCTCGCCTCATCTTCCTGTGCCAGCTCTGTACGAACTCTCCCTGTCCACGCGGCCGCCTTTCATGCTCATGCCGACCCAGTCCTCTCCTGTACGGACGCCTTGCGGGTTTCGAAATATCAGCAACTGGCATACGCTCGCAAGCGCCTACATCGGCTGCCACGGCTGACGTCACCGCCAAACACGCGCATCATGCCCGCACCACGCGCCTGTCTCTGCCATCGCCTCAGCGTCCATCGCCGCACCGTCGCTTCCAATTCTCACGACCCAGGCTACCGAGCTACTACAAACGTGTCACGAACATCTCCTGGGGTTGCCACGAGATGCAAACATTGTTGCGCGATCGAGAGCATGGTGGCTGGTGCACCAGCTCCTGGCATGACGATCGAGATGATGATGGGTACGGTGAACACACTGGTGACATTGAGTGGATCCAACTGGAGAGCTGTTTGCAGTCTCTAGTGATGCTGCGACGCTTCAAAAACTGGATATATCGATATCGCGACTGTGTTAAACGCAACAACATGTTTACGAACATATGCTCGGTGTGCGCTTGATGCCCTTACACCTAAACATACATCCCCGCCAAGGCTCCTAAGACCATCTCGTGGTAGTCGATGCGCCGAGTGAAGCACGGGAAACGGATATCTCATGCGTATATCTCACTCCAAAGCTCAAGAGTTTCCTTCCAGACCAACCACCGTGGTATCCGCATGACTGAAGGTCCGTAGCCCGGTTCGGATGATCTTGAGCTGAGATTTACAATTCGGATCCGGACATGCGATCAATGCATCCGTGGACATCCAATCATGCGCGTGAGTTGGTCGTTGCTTGGCCGCTAGCAGAGGCAGTACTGCCGCTGAAATGCCAATCTCATCAGTTCTTGGAGTGTACAGTGTTTGTGCTTGAAACTCACCTAAGCTGTAGAAGCTTATGCCCTGTCCTTCGGGAAGACGAAGCATCTCTCCTTGAACAGTAAAGTAGTCTCCTTCCTTGGCTCCACACAAGATGCGCTCGCCTGGCGGACAAACCACCTCAACCCGCAAGTCGTACAATTGGAAAGAGTCGTCCTTGGCCGATGACATTGTGTTGCCTTTGGAAAGTTGCGTTGCTGATGTTTTGCACGCTCATCCCATCTCTTCTTGGATTCTATCAACTTCCCGTTTGGCGAAGGGTGGGGCCACCGGCGTTCTAAGCATGACAGATAGCAGCCGGCATTTCATGACACCCCAGCACGATCGCCGGTTTTCGGGCGCCCTGACCAGCTGCTATCAGAAACTAGAACCCCGCTATCAACGGTTACGGAGTCACTGAATCCCCCGTAGATGCCGAACTGCTTAGTGAGATAAGCTTCCCGCTTCGGCTTGGTACTTGTAGGAACCGTCGCGCGCTCCCATGCTAAGAGCATCATCATGGATCTATCAAAGAAGGATGCTACGCAATTTGCGCAAACTTCTGCGTCAAACTCAGAGGTCGAACATGGAGCCGTCGGTACGACATATGAGGTCAAACGCGACCTTGGGCGTCGTCATATCAACATGATTGCCATAGCTGGCATGATCGTATGTAAAACCACTCCAAAGCATTCTTGCAGTCTCTATACTCATGCACCAACTTTAGGGTACCGGACTTTTTCTAGCATCCGGCCAGGCCATCGCTACCGCAGGACCAGTCGGCGCTCTCTTCGGATATCTGTGCATGGGCTTAATTGCATGCGGTGTCGCCCTGTCTGCAGGAGAGATGTCGGCGTTCATGCCTGTCACTGGAGGGTTTGTTCGCCATGCTACGAAGTTCGTGCAACCTGCACTCGGCATCGCAACCGGATGGAACTTTTGGTACACCATGGCAATTACAGCGCCAGCCGAGCTCGCCGCTGCGGCAACCTTAATCAACTTCTGGGATAATAGCATTAACCCTGCTGTTTGGTACTCGGTGTTCATTGTGATCATCGTGGTCATCAACTTCTGCGGGGTGAAGGTTTATGGCGAAGTGAGTCCTGATGCACCCTACTTTTAGCTCCTATATCTGACAATTCAAAGAGCGAAGTCTTCTTCGCAGCTCTCAAGATACTCCTCATCATAGGTCTCATCATCGCCGGCCTAGTGGTAGACCTTGGAGGATCCCCTAGTGGAGATCGAATCGGCTTTCGGTACTGGAAGAACCCCGGTCCTTTCAACGAATACATCGTCCCCGGTAATACCGGCAAGTTCCTCGGGTTCTGGAGCTCCTTGATATCGGCAGCCTACAGCTACGCGAACATCCAGGTGGTCGCCATCGCTGGTGCCGAGACAAGGAACCCAAGAGTCATCATCCCGAACGCTATTCGAATGACGTTCTGGAGAGTACTTATCTTCTATGTTATCAGCATCTTCATCGTTGGTATGCTTGTACCATTCAACGACCCGAATCTTGGCATCTCTACGGGTGATGCTCAGCAGAGTCCTTTCGTCATTGCCTTCCAGCGCGCTGGTATCAAAGTCCTGCCATCAATCATCAACGCCATAGTATGCACTTCGGCCTTTAGTTGCGGCTCTGCATGCGTCTTCCTTGCATCACGTACGCTGTACGGGCTGGCAGA